GGCTGCGGCAGCTGCCGGGATTGCTGCAGAGATGATCCAAGCAATCAGCCACCCACTGAGGATTTCTGCATTTCACAGTTTCCTTCATTCACTGTATCCTGCATCATCCTCCCAGCTTCTGCTTCCCTGGGAGCCCCAGTTTGGCTCTTCTGCCCATGGGAATTATTAATGATCAATGGAGGGTAGATATGTTTTGATCTGTGATACAACTAAAATAACAAGGATTACTTTCAGGGATGCTAAAGGTATTGTTGGTCACACAAATCACAACGTCAGGTGTGGCCAAAAAGGCATCTGAGTGACGGGGACACACCATGGCTGGGTCATTAAGCTAGTCAGAAAGAGTTAGTATAGAGACAGTGAATTCCCCCTAGAACAGTGTCTTCCCGATGGGACATCCAGGCAGGGCTTGCTCTGCTCAGCATTCCCTGCCTGCTCCCGGGATTCTTGAGGGACAGCCTCTGGCAAGTCCTGGCCGAAGGAGACCTGCCACCGCCCTGAGTCCTGGCAAGGCTGCTGCCCATCTCCTGCCCCAAAGAACTGTGCCCCTGGGGGACTTCTCTGCCAGAAGGCAGCCAAAGCCAAGGGGCACTGAGGTCTGCCCTCTTGCAGGTGGCTGTTGGGAGCAGCAGCTGGAACAATTGGTGGCAAGACTTGGCATCTGTCAGAAGGCAGAAGCTGTTGCTCCTTCTTGGCATGATTTTTGGGTGGAAGTGATTAGCAGCATCACATCCTCCTCTGTGACATCACAGATCTCCTAACACATCACATCCTCCTCTGTGACATCACAGTATCCTGTGACATCACATCCTCCTCTGTGACATCACATCCTCCTCTGTCACTTCACAGATATCCTGTGACATCACATTCTCCCCTGTGACATCACAGTCCCTCTGTGACATCACATCCACCTCTGTGTCATCGCATGTCTCTTTTGACATCAAATCCTCCTCTGTGACATCACAGATCTCCTGTGACATCACAGCCCCTCTGTGACATCACATCCACCTCTGTGACATCACATCCTCCTCTGTGACATCACAGCTCTCCTGTGACATCACATCCTCCTCTGTGACATCACATCCTCCTCAGTGACATCACAGCTCCCCTATGACACCACATCCTCCTCTGTGACATCACATCCTCCTCTGTGACATCGCAGGTCTCCTATGACATCACATTCTCCTCTGTGAGCTTGTATCCTCCTCTGTGACATCACATCCCGCCCTGTGACAACACAGCAACCTGGGACATCATATCCTCATCTGTGGCATCACATCTTCCCCGTTACATCACTGCTCCCCTATGACATCACATCCTCCTCTGTAACATCACATACTACCCTGTGACAAAACTTTCTGTGACCTCACATCCTCCTCTGTGTCATCACATGTCTCCTATTACACCATATCCTCCCTGTGACATCATATCCTCCACTGTGAAATCACATCCTCCTCTGTGACATTGCATGTCTTCTATGACATCGCATCCACCTTTGTGACATCACATCCACATCCACCTCTGTGACATCACATCCCCTCTGTGACATCGCATGTCTCCGGTGACATTACATCCTCCTCTGTGACATCACATCCTCCTCTATAACAACACAGCTCTCCTGTGACATCATATGCTTCCATGTGAAATCACATCCGCCTCTCTGCCATCGCATGTCTTCTATGACATCACATCCTCTACTGTGAGATTACAAGTCCCCAGTCTTATCCTATCCTCCTCTGTGACATCACATCCTCCCTGTAATATCACATCCTCCTCTGTGACATCATATCCTCCTCTTTTACATCACATCCTCCTCTGTGTCATCACATCCTCCCTGTAACATCACATACTCCTCTGGGACAACACAGCTCCATGTGACATCACATCCTCTTCTGTGACATCACAGCTCCCCGGGACATCACATCCCCCCCCTGCGACATCACGTCACTCCTATGACATCACATCCTCCTTCGTAACTTTGCAGCTCGCCTATGAAATCACAGCTCCCCTGTGACATAATAGCCTCCTCTCTGACATTTAATCTTCCTCTGGGACATCACATTCTCCTTTGGGACATTTCATGTTTCCTGTGACATCACATCCTCCTCTGTGACATCACAGAGCTCCTATGACATCACATCCTCCTCTATGACATCACATCCTCCCTGTGATGTCAGAGCTCTTCTATGACATCACAGATCTCCTATAACATCACATCCTCCTCTGTGACATCACAGTTCCCTGTGACATCACATCCTCCTCTGTGACTTCACAGATCCCTTTGACATCACATCCACCTCTGTGACATCACATCCTCCTCTGTGACATCACATGTTTCCTGTGACATCACATCCTCCCCTGTTACATAACAAATCCCCATGACATCACAGATCCCCTCTGACATCACATCCACCCCATTACATCGCATCTTTCCTATGACATCACATCCTCCACTGTGACATCGCATCCTCCTCCTGACATCGCATGTCTCCTCTGACATGACATCCAGCTACGTGACATCACCGCTCCCTGGGACATCACATCCTCCTCTGAGACATCACAGTTCTCCTGTGATATCACATCCTCCTCTGTGACATCACATCCTCCTCTGTGACATCACATCCTCCTCGGTGACATCACAGCTCTCCTGTGACGTCACATCCTCCACTGTGACATCGCATGTCCCCTATGACATCACATCCTCCTCTGTGAAATCACATCCTCCTCCTGACATCGCATGTCTCCTGTGACATCACATCCTCCTCTGTGACATCACATCCTTTCTGTGACATCAAATGCTTCCTGTGAAATCACATCCGCCTCTGTGACATTGCATCCTCCTCTGGGATATCACATCCTCCTCTGTGACATCACACGTCTCCTATGACATGACATCCTCCTATGTGACATCACAGCAACCTGTGACATCACATCGTCCTCTGTGACATCACATCTCTCCTGTGACATCACATCCTCCACTGTGACATCACATCCTTTTCTGTGACATCACATCCTCCTCTCTGACATCACAGATCCCCTGTGACATCACATCCCCCTCTGTGACATAAAAGATCTCCTATGACATTACAGCTCCCTGTGACATCACATCCTCCTCTGTGACATCAGAGATCACCTATGACATCACAGATCCCCTGTGACATCACATCCTCCTCTGTGACATCACATCATCCCCTGTTACATAAAAACTTCCTATGACATCACGGATCCCCTTTGGCATCACATCCACCCCATGACATCACATCTCTCCTTTGACATCACATCCTCCACTGTGACATCACATCCTCCTCTTTTACATCACAGCTCTCCTCTGACATCACATCCTCCCCTGTGACATCAGAGCGGTCCTGTAACATAACATCCTACTCTGTGACATCACATTCTCTTCTGTGACATCACAGGTTCCCGGGACATCACATCCCCTCCTGCAACATCACGTCTCTCCTATGGCATCACATCCTCCTTCGTGACACCATAGCTCACCAATGAAATCACAGCTCCCCTGTGACATCATAGCCTCCTCTCTGACATTTAATCTTCCTCTGGGACATCACATTCTCCTCTGGGACATTGCATGTTTCCTGTGACATCACATCCTCCTCTGTGACATCACAGATCTCCTGTGACATCACATCCTCCTCTGTGACATCACATCACAGCTCCTGTTACATAACAACTCCCTTTGACATCACAGATCTCCTATGACATCCCAGATCCCCTGTGACATCACATCCCCCGCGCTGACATCGCATCTCTCCTATGACATCACATCCACCTTCGTGGCATCGCATGTCCCCTATGACATTACATACTCGTCTCTGAAATCACATCATCCTCCTGACATCGCATGTCTCCTGTGACATCACATCCTCCTCTGTGACATCACATTACACTCTGCTACATCACATGTTCCTCGGTTACATAGCAGCTCCATGTGACATCCCATCCTCCTCTGTGACATCGGATGTGTCCTATGATATCACATCCTCCTCTCTGACACTACATCCTCCTCTCTGACATCAC